TACTGTTGCCAGACTGATTCTTTTAAAATACACATCTGTTTGTGTCCTTGTCCTATAATGCCTTGCCACCAAACCTGGACTAAAATCCAAAATCTTTATTCTTTGCCCACAATGCCTGACCTGATTCGCCGTCCACACTTCTTTAACCACTTGCCTGCAGCTCACTTCAGCCACACGGGCTCCTAGCTGTTCCAGAAATAGGCCTCAAGGACTCTGCACTTGCTCTGCTCCTGTCTGGACCGCTCTTCCCCTTAACATCTGCATGGCATTCTCCCTCATTTGATTGAGGTCTTTGTTCAAATGTCACCTCATTAGAGGTGTTTTCAAGTCACCCTATCTCAAATACCAAACCCTCCCCACTCTCCCCAACATTATCTATCCCTTTACACTGCTTATTTTTTTCCATTCCCTTATTACTACCTGATTTTACATATTCATTTGATTACTGCCTGTCTTACTCTGGTCAGAGAGCATCAGGTCCTCTGCTCACTGCAGCATACACAGGGTTTACAACAGTGCCTGGCACATAGGAGGTTGTTCAATAAATATAAGTTGAATGACTGAATGAATTGTAAATCAGCACTTTCTATATGACAGACACTGAATCAGGCTGGGATATAAAGATGAATAATGAGTTAAGACCTAGCTTTTTCCCTTGAGGAACTTAAAATCTAGCAGTGAAGGAGACGGTACATAACTACAGTCATGTGTCGGTTAATGTTCACAATACGCTCTGTGAAACAGGATCTTATGTGATTTGGATGTTGTGTGAACACCGTATTATATACAGGCATTCCCTGGATTATGAACAAGCTCTGTTTCTAAATCTATCTTTAAGCTGAATTTATACGTAAATCAGAACAGTTAGGTACAGTTAGTATCTAATGTCAGTTAATCAAATGTTTGTCTTAGTATATAGTGTACCTTTCTATGCATAAAAAAAATTAGAGAAACACTGCCACATACACTAAAACATCTTTAACATAATACAGTAACAATGATAATGTTTTGACGCAAGTCGCAAACGGTGCCCGTTGTTATTACAAACCATTGTATGTACCTTGAATTTTTAATATAATAGGCTTTATGGGGGTTGACTTGTAACTACAGGTTGTACCCAAGGACTCTACTATAACTTTATGGGACCACGGTACGTGTGGTCAGACGCTACCCGAAGGGACATTAAGTGACGCATAACTATAACAGAATGAAATGTGATATGAGCTTGATGTGTTTTAGGGAAACTGTGGAGTAGCTAAAGATGAGGCAGGACACATGGGGGTCAGATTATGAAGGACCTTGAGCTTCATGATAAGGAGCTGGACTTCCACTGGAGCCCCCACTATGCTGTGCTAAAAAGTAGGAATGGAAAAGGAGGTGGATCTGAAATTAGTGACTATCTGTGGAAAAAAAAACTTGAGGGGTTCTCCTAGGATTTAGAAAATGCCACTCGCCAGACAGGCAGAATAAGAAGTTAGAAGAAAAAGAAAATAATCTGGCTTTATACAAGTTGAATCTGAGGTCCTATGGTCACCATACTAAATCATAATGATTTCTTGGGTGACTAGAAAACCCTTAACTTGGACATTCTGTAATCCTGCTCCTTGGCTACCTTCTTCGTCAGATGTTTACAATGTCCTAACTGAGCTGAGCCACACGTATCACACGTAGGTGCCACCGTGTTAGCCATGATTTAGCCATGCATGAAAATTCCTTAAGTCTTCAGGCTTTATCAAATCTGTAAGTTTAACATATTCTTTATCATGCTTTCTTAAAACAAGGGATACCTGTTTTGCAGTGAAGTCTGACACAAATGCAGAGATTTCCCAGGAATTTTTCCTAGTCAGTGGCTTGAAAGTCCAATTCTAAATGGGGAGACAACATTATTTACAATTTTAAAAACCAAAAAGTTCTCAAGGATAGGCATTACTGTTGCTTTCCACTTCTCAATGTCATGGACATCCCATGTAGATATATGTATACATGTAAACACATATACATACCAACATGAGGGGGCGATGTCAAGAATGAAAGGAGGCAAAAAAATTTTTTTTTAAGTCTAAAAAAGCACAACTTATGTTTTTACAGTTAAGGACAATTGAATACAACATAAGAATAGATCCAAATGTTACAATGTCACAAACTCAGCATCAAGGTTTTCCACACCTCAAACATCTGGCTAAAGGGTTTGTTGTTGGAGGGTTTTAGCCAATTCCATTGATCTCATTTCTCAGTTAATAAATCATCCTCGACACTTTTAGCCTTTGATTAGTCCCTAAAAAGCAGAAGATGTAGAGACAAGAATAGGCTGATTTTTTCCTCCAAAGACTCCCAGGACTACTGAGATCAAAGTAATATGCCCCTTTGGGAATTACTGTCCAAAAAGGCTTAACTCAGAGGCGTTGTGTAAAACATGCTCCTGAGTGGCAGATATCCTGGAGGAGGTTGGGGAGAGGGGTCAAGACTCAGAAGAGTCAAGCACGAAAACAGTGAGGAGTTAACTCTCCATCAAAGAGAATATCCTGTAACCAGAGGGATCCACTTCTCAAACATGCTGGATAAATCAACTGCTATACCACAAAAGCCAACTAACTAGAAACAAGGGGTCTCTCTGACACTACAAAACATTTCAATCTTCTTTATGAGAGGCAGAGAAAGGTAATTCATAAATACCCACTGCTTGACGATGTGTCAATCTATTTTTCTTCCTGTCTCTTACACGTTTGGTCTGCCACATACACCTAGAGAGGTTAACAAGGAGGGAGATGGGAAATCAGGAATGTGCCACAGTAGAAGGACGGGCAGGGAGAATGCTTAGGATTATCATGGCAAGAGTCAGCTTCCATTTCCCATGTCCCTATCTCACTGAGGTGGAACCCTGGAAAGGACTTTAAAGAATCTTTAGTTGGATACATTCTGGACAAAAACACACTAAAGCTAATAAAATTCAAACATAACTGGCCTATTAAATAACGGTAGACTCAAAACTGTTTCATAGGCCAACAGAAACCATCCAGACTCAAAGGCCCTTATTTTATCCACAAGAAAAATGAGGCTCCTGAGATCTAGAGATTCACCCAAATCACCCACCACGTTAAGGCATGGCCAGAGCCAGAACCCAGGCTGACTGCATCCCAGCACAGGGTTAATTTTATCCAAGGCACGAATCAACTCGTTTATAACTCGTCAACAATTTAAGCATACAAATGACTGTAGTATCGGCAGTAACTACCAATAAAACAAGAAATTAGAAAGCATAAAGAGAAACAGATTTGAGGATAATTTCCTACTAGGAAAAATACAAAAAGTAATATACACTTTACAGAAATCAGTCCTATGATTAGGACACTCCCTTAGAACAGGAATAAAATTACTTATAAAGTCACAGTTCTTTGAGAGATCTGAACTCGTATATGGTATAGCTTACTTAAAATTATATTCCAGTGCAGTAAATTATTTGCTTGCATGTAAGAATTTTGATGAAAAACCAGAAAACAAACTCACATAAACAAAACAACAAACATCAGAAAAAACCCAGGAAACGCAATTTCAGTTGATCTTGTTTGTATAAAGGAAAAGTATTGGCATCTTTTTTCAATGGGCTTTTAGGAATAAAAGGTTATATAGGACCATTAAAAACTCAAAAGCAGGACTGAAGCTTGGTAGCCAAAAGAATGTATTTAATAAATTCTGAGCATTTCATATTTCTAAAGCCTGTTCCTACGTAGTCAGCCTATTAAAACGAAAGCAAACAAAAACAATCTTCCACCAAAACAAAAGCAGCACAGACCATCCTTTCTATTTCAAATTTACCTTGAACTCTAGGACTGCTTAACTAGCCCCAAAATAAACACCGGCCACTTAAACAACTTCCTTTTCACAAATTACAATACTCTTTCCCTGGCAAAAACTCAGGAACTGCTTTAATTTCTGTTTGCAGATTAATAATTAAAAAAAAAAAAAAAAAAAAAACTCCTTATCTTATAAAAACATACCTGAAAAAAACTTGTCATTTCTGTCAGAAAATGTTCAGCATAAACTCTCAGTCTGCATTTTGTTTTCTTAAGATATTTTAAAATTAATTAATAATATTAATTTTATTAATATTCAACCACACAGTGGGTCACGTAACACAGTCTACCAGAGAGAAATTTAATTTCTTAACAAGCTAATTTCTAACCCCCATGCATGGAAGTGATAAAGATGTTCTGCTAAGGGGAAAATCAAGCACCCAGTGACCAGGACCATGTAGGTAGTTCATTTGCTACAGGCAACCCAGGCAAACAGCCAGCCTGAGAGAACGGTGTAGAATGCAGAGCTGGGTACATCAAGCCACTCTAAGTCCACCTGAAACTAAAAGAGGTGCCTATTTAAAACCTTGAGAAACCTGAATGGAAAAGTCATATAATGCTTTAAATGCCACACATTCTAGAAGTTGGAAATCCATGCAGGTTAATCTGCATTCCAGCTACCTGAAGAAAGCCACATCCTAATGGTATCATTTTTCCAAGAATCCAAGCCACTCTGGAATAGCTGTTCTGAATTCTATGTATGAAACAGGTTTTGTTAAAGTTCCAGTGTCTGACTTTGTGTGGGGAAAAAACTATACAGCCCTTCACAATGCATTAGGCCAACTGTCAACTCTTTATTTGATGAGTTAATAGTACCAAGACTGGGAGGTTCAACAGCCTGTACTCTTTGAAGGTATCTGAGGGTTTTCTTTCTTGTTAAGTGAAAACAGAAGAACATCATCTCTGGCGATCCTCTCTCATTCCATACGAATCCTGTACCAAGCAGGCAACAAACAACATAGCATTCTCTTATAGCTACCAGAGCTATAGTTAGTTCAACAGGTTAAGTGGTTTAAAAAAAAAAGAAAGAAAGAAAGAAATAATATGCTTTGATTCCCACTGCTTGATAAATTTCATTTCCAAATAAAAATTAGACACCTGCAGCTCAAATCCCTAGTAGTTAAATCTGAGAGCTTTTGCTTTACTTACTTGTATTTTAAGAGCAGCCACTGAATTAACCATAGTCCTACAAGGATCATGCCATTAATTTCACAAATAGAAAAGGCCCACTGCACCCGGTTAAAATGGTCAAAAAACGTGTCTGGTAGTGGAGGCTGCACCTCCTTAGGAGGCACTCGTTCATGGACGACCGAGATCATCACTGTGGTGAGAACAAAACAGGAAAGTGCATAAAGAAAGGCCAGAAAAGTCTTGCCCCACTCCATGGGGTACTGGGAGCGCTCTGGTTCTGGCATGGGGATCTTGATCATCTCCTTCCTATACCCATTTGGCATCCCGTTGGGTTTGACCTTGATGTTGAAGCTGCTGTCAAGGGTGGGGAAGTCTGTGCCAATGCTGAGGTGCCCGTTGGCATGGCCATTCTTGTGTGCTTCCATGTGGTGCTCCATTTTCAGGGTCTCTATCATGTCCAAGAGCCGCTGCCCATTGTCAGAGGAAACTCGGCACAAGGGGGGTTTTTTGAAATCCTCTTGCGTTAGGTTGATCAAGTCCCGGCCTGTGAAATGTTCCAGAGACTCACAGTATTCTGGCATAGCATTCTCCAACAGCCAGTCGGCCACCTTCTTGGGTGACCAATAAACCACTTCCTTCATTGTACTGGCAGACAGCATGCGGTCCCCAGCTTGCTCACGACAGGTCAGCAATCACTGTTCCTACAGGGCAGGACATCGTCCCTCCTCGGCTCGCTCATCCTATCAGGCCTCGTGAGCAGAGACTTGTTTGGCAAGATGGTCAGGGCAGTTTTTAAACACTTCATGTAGCTGTCCAGGGTTCTTGAGTGCCTGAGCATTAATTCACCTCATTGTTGAATAAGATTCTTCCTTCTGTGGAGGCAAGAGAAAATGTCAGGATAATGGGATTTCTAAATCAAACCCCCTTAAAATGCAGATCTTGTCACGAGTGAGGAAAATGGCAAATCTGCCTACTGGACCATTCTATCTGATGGAGAAATGTTTAAAGATGTACACAGCACACAGCAACTTAACTGATATCATAGAAGAGACTCATAGAAACATTGAGCTTCAACATCACCTGGTCCAACATTTTTTACAAAAATCAGTGACTTCCTTTTTTCAAATGTGCTTGGGACTCCAAATAAATGAAAGAGGTAGAAAAGCAGCTGCTTGGGTTGAAGAACAGGTGGAGTGAAGGGCAAGGGCCTGCTCTGGTGGCCTTTCTACTCCCAGCTCCTTAGGGTATGCCATGAAGCCCACAGGTGGAAAATCAGTGATCTGATTCAACTCTCTCATTTTTATAAACCAAGAAACTCAGGTCCAGAAAGGTCAAGGAACTTGCTCATGGTAAAGTGCAGCTTGTGTAGAAGAGTTATCATGAAGCCCCTGAATCCTAGTTCAGTGTGTTTATTTATTAAAATACTTAACCAGCTATGTGGCAATAACCAAAATGAACATCTGTAAGGGAGAGTAAAAAATTGGAATTCAAAATTTTATAAATTCATGTATGTATAAATGTATGCATATATAATGCACATACATATAATATGTGTATTATAATTACAACCATGATGAATCAATATAACAGAGCCTAAAATTACTGGAATGAAATACATCAGATATTAACTGAAGTTACACTTGATGGGCCTGGTGGTATTTTCTACTCTTCTCTCACCTATTTTTCTTTCAAGAAGCCCTGGTGCTGCAATGGTTAAGCGCTTGGTTGCAAACTGAAAGGTCGGTGGTTCAAACCCACCAACTGCTCTGCAGGAGAAAGATGGGGCAGTCTGTGTCTATAAAGATTACAGCCTTGCAAACCCTATGGGGCAGTTCTACTCTATCTTATAGGGTTGCTAGGAGTCAGAACCAACTCGATGGCAACAGGTTTTTTAGGTTTATTTTTCTTTCATATGGATGTATTACTTTTATAATCATTTAAAATAAAAAACGAAAGTTAAAAATAAATGATCTAATTCTACAACAACGCATCATGGTTAATGAAAGCACGGCCTTTGGCTTAAGACAGACCATAGTTTGATCTGAACATCTTCCATACATAACTCATATGTGAGCTTCAGCTTATTCATCTGTAAAACGGGGATAGTCAAGTACCTGCTTCACAGCATTGTTATCAGGACTTTACTAAGAAACTAAATGGGTAAGTTGATGAAACATAGATACTAAAAAATAGTGATTTTCAAAAAGGATCTGTTGATTCTCATATCCTTTTTTTTTTCTTTGTCAAATTTCCTATCATATCCAATAGCCACTGTCCATTATGTCTTACCGTGAGAAAACCCTGTCTACTAGCGGGCTAACATTTTTCCTCATATGATGAAGGTTGTAAATAACTTGCCCAGATTTGGAGATTTTAAGAGCTGGAAATTACTGATGACAATGTTACCCGAAGTGTGTTTTGTGGAATAATAATCCAATAAAATACTCCATGCTTTTTACGTATCCTGTGGCCAAATAAGTCTAGGAACTGCATAACGTCATCTTTCTTAGGGACAAAAGTACACATTAGCATGTTAAAATCTCCAGGAAACCTTCCAGTGAAAAAACTTTACCAGGATTTCTCAAACTAACTTCATCAAGGCTGTCTTCCTCCCTGTCCCCTTCTTCGCCTGTAACTCATATTACCACCCTATGGAACACACCGGGGAGTACTGACCTAAAGGATCAAGAGTAAGAGTCCTACAGTGGGTAGCTGGTACAAATAAGAGGTGAGACCAGGTCTTCTGATTTTAAAGTCCAAACTCATTTCTACTGAAGCCCAAAATTTGACTCTGGAATGTGATGGGCAATATGTCCACTCTTAATTTCCCAGCCCAAATAACTGCCCAAATGGCAGTAAAGCTTAAAAGATATTTCCAGACCTTGCAAAAAGGAGTTGGGCATTCCCTCTTCTGAGCACCTTCCTTATCAAACTCCGCTGTTGAGTGTCAGTATAGACTCTCCCAGGAGCACCCATGTATCTTACACTCCTGATGCTCAGAAGGTACTCAATCAGTATCTCCTCTGTTTCTCAGAAAAACTTCCTTAGCCCTAGGCATGTAGATGGTTTAATGGAAAACAAACCTACTGCAAATACCTTGATACTGAAAATGGCTTTTAAAACAATTTGGATGGTCAAGGAGAATAAGGAGGGCATTCTCCAGCGAGAAATACAACCTAAGTGAATCTCTGACCACTTAAAAACCACTACAGAGAAACTTTAATTGTCACTAGTAATGCCTGGAGAGTGATGAGAAGACCAGCCCCAAATGGGAGTCCTGGCAGGAAAGGGGATCTCCTGGTATCACACCAGAGGGCCCTCCTCAAGTACTCCTCAGTACAATTAGGACAAAAGCCAAGGGAACCCAAAGCACCTTGAAGCAGCTATGAGAACTCTAAAGAAAAATTCTCAGCGGGATATCCACCCTCAGGGGAAATGAACAAAGACCAGGCTTTTCACATTATGTTCTTCCTTCTTTCCCTGCCCAATGCAGAGACCTGCACTGCCTGCCAGGAGGGGGAAGCACCTCCGAACCACAGAGACCTGGCCAAAGCCAAGGCTCTACTTCACTTCCCACTGATGGGAGGAAAAGACCAATAATGTCCTCTTAAGAGACTATATGAAATAGAAGGGGAAAAAAAAAAATCAAAGGATAAGGGACAATATAAAAAGTTCATTGCCGTACATCAATTCTGACTCATAACGAGTTTGTAGGGCAGGGGAGAACTGCCCCATATTTTCCAAGGAGCAGCTGGTGGATTCGAACCGCTGACCTTTTGGTTTAGCAGCTGAGCTCTTAATCATTGTGCTACTAGGGCTCCTGCGCCACCAGAGCTGCATACATAGGACGATCAAATACTGATGGCTCTTTCTGAAGCCACTTAACATCTAATTTTCCCATACTTTGAAAAGAAACACTTTTCTCAAATTTAAAGCCCTTCACCCCTACCCTGCACACTCTTACATGCATCTTTCTGCAGATATTTAGCCATCTACCAGAGCTGTCCTCAGTACACAAGGCAGCAGAGGACATGGCTGTGAAGTCCAACCTCTGCCTAAATCTGTGTCTTTAGCTATAAAACAGATACGTAGAAATTAAAAGGTGCCCTAGTGGCACAGTGGTTAAGCGCTCAGCTGCTATCTGAAAGATCAGTGGTTTGAACGCACCAGCCGCTCCATAGGAGAAAAAGATTTGGCAGTCTGCTCCATAAAGATTACAGCCTTGAAACTCTACGAGTCAGAATCGACTTCTCAGTAATGGGACGAGATTAAAGGATCTGGCCTCTCCTCTCTTTTCTAATCTCACCTTCTCCCACCCTTCCCCTCCTTATAGAACCCCAGCCTCCTTCTATTCCTTTTTTTTCCCTAAATTTTATTTATTTTGTCGTTGTTCAGAATATACACAGCAAAACATACACCAATTCAACAGTTTCTACATGTACAACACTGATTAAAGTCTTTGAGTTGTACAACCATTCTCACATTCCTTTTCTGAGTTGTTCCTCCCTTATTAACATAAACTCACTGCCCCCTAAGGTTCCTATCTAATCTTTAGAGTTGCTGTTGTCAATCTGATCCCATACAGATTGTTCTTAAAAGAGTGTAATGCTCAAGGCAGACTTTTTTCACTAGTTAAGCTAAACTATTGTTCCATCTTAAGATGACTCCAGGGTATCTTTGGTTTAAGGTTTAAAGATAATCTCAGGGCAATAGTTTCAGGGGTTCATCTACCCTCCATGGCTTCAGAAAGTCTAGAGTTCATGAGAATTTTAAATTCTGTTCTGCATGTCCACCTTTTGATCAGGATTCTTTTATGGAATCTTTGATCAAAATGTCCAGGAATGGTAGCCAGGCACCATCTAGACACTACACAATGAACTAGGAGGTAGAACAGAGGCACTAAACACATTATTAGGCCAATTAACTGGGATGTCCCATCAAACCAGGACCCGAAACCTCCAAACCAAGGAACCAAATCCCATTAAGTGTTTGGTTGTATAGCCTCAGCAGCTACACCTTTTTTTTCTGCCATTGTTGTTATCTATCACACAACTTTTGCCAATTCAACTTTTTACAGGTGTACAACTCAATGACAGCAATTACAATAACTGGCTGTACAACCCTATCCTTAATCAATGTGATTTTTCCATCACTGTTAACCTCCCTTTTCCCCTTCCCTCTCACTAATAAAACTTTGGTCTCTATACATTTGCCTTTTCTTGTCTTCTTCTATAACTGATGTCATATAATATTTGTCCTTTTGTGATTGACTTATTTCATTCACTATAACGTCTTCAAGCTCCATCCATACTGTAGTGTATCAAAACTGCATTTCTCCTACTGGCTGAGTAGTATTTTATTGTATGTATGTACCACATTTTGTTTATCCATTCATCTGTTGATGGGCATTTAGGTTGTTTCTACCTTTTGGCTACTGTGAATGAAAACTGGTGTATAAGTCTCTGTTTGAGTCTCTGCTTTCAAGTCTTTTTGGGTATATACCTAGGAATGGAATTGCTGGGTCATATGGTAGTTCTATTTTTAGTTTTCTGAGGAACTCCACACTGTTTTACACAATGGCTGTACCATTTTGCATTCCTACCAACAATAGATAACGGTTCCAATTTCCCCACATCCTTGCCAACGTCTGTTATTTTCTGTTTTTATTTTAGTCATCCTAGTGGGAGTGAAACGGTATCTCACTGTGGTTTTGATTTGCATCTCTCTGATGGCTAATGATGCTGAGCATCTTTTCATGTGTTTGGTGGCTATCTGAATGTCAGCCTCTTTCTATTCTTCAGGGAGTCTGTGCATTTGCTATTACTCCTTCTGTCTGGGAGGCTTTTCAAATGGCCTGTTCTTTCTCAGCTTT